AGCAAGCACACACATCAATAGGCAAAAATTTAAAGAGAGAAAGATTACAAATAGGAACTAGCCTTGAAGAACTCACACATTTAATAGGTAGTAATAGGAAAACAGATTACAAAAGAGTCTGAGCAGGAATTGTCTGAGAATTAATTTGTTTATTTGTTTTCTAAAAATAATTATTTTAAATTGTGATTTCTGGTTTACAAATAGTCATTGTACAGCTTTGTGGGTACAGTATGATTTTTTAAAGCATGCATACAGTGTGTAATAGCCAAGTCAAGGATATAGACATATCCACCTTATTCAACATCAAGCATTACAATATGTTGTGCACATAGTTCTACTAACTTTTTTGTTGGAAGTATATGTTGAATTGTCAATGACCATTTTTACTTTGCTGTAATATACTCCTTCATAACATATTCCACTTATATACATGTATTTTTGTATTTGTTAGGAAGGTTTTTTTTGTTTTTTTTTTTTTCTGAAATACCTTATCCCTTACACATCCCTGTGCAGCTTCTGGTATGTGCCATTTCTCTATTTCTATACCATCAGGTCCTTCAGTTTCTGCCACAGAATATGGACATTTGATATGTTAAGCAGGGACATAGTAATTCTCTTTCACAGTCTGGTTTATTTCACTTAGCAGGTCTGTCCACTTTGTGTCTAATAACAGGAAATCATGGTTCTTTATGGTGAAGTGGTATTCCATTGTGGATATGTGCCACATTTTCTTAATTCAGTCATTGGTTTTAGGCAATTAGGTTGATTCTATGCCTTAAATATTGTGAATAATGCTGCAGTAAAGTTGTACAAGTGTCTTTCTGACAGAGTGATTTCCTGTCCTTTGGGTAAATACCTAAGAGAACGATTACTGGGTCACGAAGTAGTTCTATTTAGATTTGTAAGCAATCTCCATACTGTTTTCCATGGTGGCTGTACTAAATTACATTCCACTAGCACTGCACAGGAGTTCTCTTTTCTCTGCAACCTCAGCAGGATTAGTTATTCTTGTTTTGTGATCATAACCATTCTGACTGGGGTTGGGTGATGCCTCATTATAGTTTTGATTTGTATTTCCCTTGTAATAATACATTTTACACTGGCTTTGTAACACAGTGGTTAAATGCAGTGCATAGGGAACACATTCCACATGATAATCCATGGTTTGAATTCTGGCCACAGAAGCTTGAAAAACATGTCAGGTATTTTTATGTATAAATGCCCAAGATCCTGATGGGATGGAGAAAGGGAAGAAAAGGATTGTGACGTGATCATACCCATTTGGCAGGGGGAGGGACGTGCTTTCTCTCTCTGGCAAGCATACAGGCCCTCTGGAAATTTTTTTAAAAAGGGATGTTGAACATATCTGCATATGCTTTTAAGCCACTTGTATATCTTCCTTTGAAGGTTGTCTGTTCAACTTCATTGCTCATTTTAAAGTTGGACCATTGACTCTTATTTTTTTTAATTGGGAGGGAAAATGAATTTCAGTTTCTTATATATTCTGGTTAGCAACCTTTTATATGAAGTGTAATTTAAGAATATTTTCTCTCATTCTGTGGTTGTCTATTGCTTCCTTGGCTGTGAAGAAGCTTTTTAGTTTGATGAAATCTCACATATTTTTGATGTCATTACATGAAATTTAGAGGTCTTATTTAAGAAATCTTTGCTTACTCAAATATCTTACAGTGCTTGCCTTGTGTTTTTTTAAAGGATTTTTATAGTTTAGAGCTTTACATTTAAATCTTTAATCCATTTTGAATTAATTTTTGTAAATGATGGGAGATGGAGTCTAGTTTCATTCTTCTGCAAGTGGATATCCCATTTTCTCAGTATCTTTTATTGAAAAGACCCTTTTCTCCAATAAATTATCTTCTGACTTTTGTTGAAAGTCGGTTAACTGTATATTGTTGGGTTTATTTTAAGATTATCGATTCTGTTCCATGCGTCTATATGCCTGTTTTGGTGCCAATCTCATGAGGTTTTAGTTATTATGGCTTTGTAAATATTTTGAAGTCTTTAGTGAGATGCTTCCAACTTTATTTATTTATTTATTTATTTATGCACAATATTGCTTTAGTGATACAGAGTCTTGGGTAAGTCAAGGCAAATTTTACTATTGTTTTTTCTATTTCTGTGAAGAATTTTACTGGTTATTTATTTATTATTTTGGAGAGATTTTTGCTAAAGGGCACATGTGTTCATCGGAGAGAAAGTGAGAAATCACCTCCCAGGTTGATGGCCACACTACAATCCCTTCTCCTCCATTCTCCTCTTGGGATCTTGGTCACACACACACATGCACCACCAAAGTTTCAAGCCACCAGGTCTGAGACTCAAACTGCGACTGGCCTTATGCAAGTCCAGAGCCTTAATCACTATGCCCCTGTTGCTAGTATTTTAATAGGAATTACACTAATATCAGAGGCTGCTAGGGATCTCTTGCTAACCCTTTCTCAGAAAAGGGGAGTTTCTGCTGATTTCAGCCTGCCAATCTCAGTCAGATGGGTGCTACTGTCTCTTTACTATGCTGGTTTCTTTTGAGATTCCACATTTCAGAAAACTTGAGCTCTTCCTTAGAAATTCCAGTTGAAAAGTGTCTGAGTAATTATTTTGTATCTTGATTGCAGAGGAGATGAGTGCTGGGTGCTTCTCATAAGTTATCTTGATTTAATCTTCTTACTAGATAATAGAATACTTGAAGGCAGGAATAGAACCATTTCTTGATTTCTTAACACAATCAGTACAAAGCCTATATACGATTGAAACATGGTTGGATTTTCTGAATTACAGAAAGTATAAAAAAAACCTCCAGAGCAAGACACAATTTTATTTTAAATTTCAAGTTAATCAATGCATAAAAATAAGGGTACAAAAGCACACATAATTCCAGAATACATTTCTACTGTATCACCAAGCTTCATAAATAATATTTTCTACAGCCAAAGCAAAACTTTTTACTAAGTGAAAAGTGAACAAAAAGCATGGTTACTTTCGACACCCTTACCACATTCCCTTTAATTATCTCTCTTCTCTTGCTAACATGTTCTCTTACTCTTTGTGCTATAAAACAAATTCTCCTTCTAATGTTCACCATGCAGGGTACAAGGTACTACTCCTTCTAAAGATCTGCGCTTTGATAAGTTTTAGTTTTTAGCACTAGACTAATTTTTGTTAGAAATGAAATTATCTCAATTATTTTTCTACCCATAGTTTCTACTGCTAAGTGAAGCAAGCCAGATTATGAAAGAGAGACATTATATGTCCTCCCTCAACATATACATAAAATGTCTGCACTCTATGGCAGAAACTGAAAGACTGGAGGGTATAAAGGCATAGAGAGCGACTGTGGCTACTAGAGACAGTGTGAGAGGATGGTAGAAAATGTGGAGGATGAGAGAGAGGGAATCAAGGAAGTAGAGAATAAAGCAAAACATTTATGGGACATGAAATGAAAAATGATCTGTTGATAATAATCTGTATGGTAGTATCTTTGACAGGACCAATAGACAGTATCTTCATTATGGAAAAATTCATTTGTTATGCTGTAATAATACACAATGATTGAGTGTAAAAAATATTAAAAATTAAACAAAGAACAACAAAGATATCTGGCATTGGAACCAGAAGATGGCATAATGATTACGTAACCTGACTCCCATGTAGTTGACCATAGTTTGAGTCCCAGACCTGGCAGCTTAAAACTCACACTGAACACGTGTGTATGCATGCCCAAAATCTCAAGAAGAGAATGGACGAAAAGGGATTGAGGCACAGCCACCCCCCTGAGGAGTGATTTCTCACTTTCTGTTTATCTCTTTCTGGCTCCCTAATGAGTGCATGTGCCCTCTTTAGCAAAAATATCTAAAAAAATAATAATTATAAAAGCAGCTATTCTAAAAAAAAAAAGTCTGGCAATTAGTAAATGCTGATTAAGACAATTTTTAAAGCAAAAATTTCATATATATATATATATATAGTCATCAGGGAAAGTCACGACACATTTTTTGCATAGAAAATCATAAAAATATGTCATGACTTTCCCAATGATCAATACAAACACTTGCATACAAACATATGTTTATACATATAAACATACACAAATTTACAACCTTTACCCTCAATTATATGCAATAAAATAAGTTACAGTAAATTTAAGGAGAAAAAAAATCCGAGATAGAGCAGAGGATGTAAATGTCTTGCTAAATTTATTCTAATAATAAACTAAATAATGGAGTGCCAATAATGCAAGACACTTTTTTGATTCATTCATTTTTCAGTCATACATAATCACAATATATCTGTTCACTTACTTTCTTCTCCTATCATTAAAACCTACAGGAGCAGGGAAAGTGTATTACTTCCTACTGGTACACATAACAATACCTAGCACAGACTACATACTAAGTAACTGTTTATTAAATGAATAAGTGATGGACACTGTCAGGATAGTTAAGACCTACTTTCTTTTTTGTTTTTATTTATTATTATTTTAATATGTTTGCTATAGGACATGTGTACTCACCAGAGAGACTAAGAAAGTGAGAGAAAAGGAAAGTGAGAAAGCAAGCCATAAGGCCCGGGACTTGGACCATGATGGCTATGTGGAAGTTCAGCTCCTCAACCACCATGCTACATGCTGGTCCCAAACCTACTTTCTTTTCTTTTCTTTCTTTCTTTTCTTTTCTTTATTTTTTTAAAGATTTATTTATTTATTTATTTATTTATTATTTTTCGAAAACACAGAGAGAGGGAAAGCAAGAAAGCAAACCACCAAGTCTAGGACTTAAACAGTGGTTGCCATGTGGGAGTCCAGTGCCTTTGACCACCACGCCACCTGCCAGCCCCCAAGACCTATTTTCTAACACCATGTAACTTCATTTCTTAAATACAAGCAATCTAGTAAGTCCTAGGCTTCTAATTTTGTTAATACAGGTTGTACTGTACTAAAAACAAAGAAATGTAGAGTGATAAAACTAATTAGCTTCATTATTTATTACCTGGTTCTGAATTTGTAGTATAATTTGGCCCTGGAGAAATCTTTTGATCTGCTGATGTCATCACTCTATAATAAGAACAAATAATTTATACTTTCTTAATCTTTCAGTAACTTTCTAGAATCCTCACATAATACTTAAATAAATAAAGACATTTATGTATAATTAATTATCCAGTAGGAAAAAAATACAATTGGTTAGAAAAAAGTTATCAAATCCACATGAACAAATAATTTAATAATAAAGGGCAATATGTTTATACATTTATCAGTGGGAAACAATACATGATAGAGGATATAGTGTTTTAGATAGAATGTTTAAGATCCAGTGTTTAAATCAGACAGACCTTAGTTTAAATCCCAGTTCTGCTACTCACACTTGGGTGGCCTTAGAGTTACATAACCTGTCTTGAGTCTCAGTTACTCGATTTAAACAAAAGAGACAGCTATCCTGTTTCTCAGGATTCTTGTATTAAAAATTTCAAGAAACATAAGAGATAATATTTTTAAATTAACACTCTTTTGTACTTCCAGAATTGAGACCACTCCTAATTCTACTTAAATATGTAGGAAAGTTTTAGCTATTGCAAGAGGAATACCAAAGGATCAAAGTTCAGACTCTGACCACCAAAATGGAATTTCTGAGTCCCTAGCAAGACAATCAAGTTGAAAAACAACTGTTGGAAGAATATTTTTCAAATTACTATTACTGGTTAACCTAACAGTTGTTGAAGTCTATATATAGAAAATAATTATCATTTTTCTTTCATTTTATTTTAAACTCAGCCTGTTCCATTTATCAATGGCACTCAAATTTTAATTCCCTTTCCTCTCATCTGTTTTTCCTATTAAAATCATATTTCTTTGCTTTCCCCAGTCCTAATTGTTTTACAGCTTTATTGAGATATAATTTAGATGCCATTCAATTTATCCATTTAAAATCTACAACTCAATTTTTTTAGTATATTTATCATCATTATCACAATTAATTTTAGAATTAATTTTTATCATCCACAAAAGAAACCCTATACCCATTAGTAATTAATCCCCATTTCTTCTCAAACTTTCCACCTGATAATCACTTATCTTCTGTCTCTATGGAGTTGTATACATGGAAAGATTATATGAATGAGATTACAGAATATGTGGTCTTGTGTGACTAGCTTCTTTCACTTAGCATAATGTTTTCAGGGTTCATCCATGTTGTAGCCCATATAAGCACTCCATTCCTTTGTATTGTTGAAAAATATTTCACTGTATGAACCTACCATTGTTCATTTATCCATCCATCAGTAGATGGACATTTGTGCCATTTCCACTTTTCATTTAATATGAATAAAGCTGATGTGAACAATTCCTGTACAAATTTTGGTGTGGAGGACCAGCAGTTGGCACAATGGATATGTCGCTGGACTCCCATGTAGTTGACCAGGGTTCAAGTCCCAGACCTGGTGGCTTAAACTCACACTGGGTGCATGTGTGTGTGTGTCTGAGATCCTGAGAGGAGACTGGAGGAGAAGTGACTGTGATGTGGCCATCCCCCTAGGGGGGTGATTTCTCAATTTCTGTCTCTCTCTTTCTGGCAAGCGCACGCACCCTATAGCAAAAACCTCTCAAAAAAAAGAGAAAAATTTTGGTGTAGATATACATTTTAATTTCTCTAAGACAGATGCACATATCTAGGAGTTGATTGGTGGGTTTATACTAACTCCTTTTTTATTTTATTTTTTTTAAGGCTTTTGCCATAGGGTACATGCACTCAACAGAGACAGACAGAGAGAGACGGTGAGAGGGAAAGTGAGAAATCAACACCTAGGGGCAATGGCCACACCAAACTCCCTTCTCCTCCATTTTCCTTCTGGAATTTTGGGTGCCCAAGCACACGTGTCCGGCATGATTTTCAAGCTGCCAGGTCTAGGACTCAAACCATGGTCGGCCATATGGGAGTCTAACGCCTTAACCACTATATCATTTGCTGACCGTGGTGACTCCATTTTTGACATACTGAGACACTGACAAAGTGTTCTTCAAAGTAGCTTCACCATTTAAAATTCCCACAGTGGTGTATAATGATTCTAGTTTATTTACAGCCAAGCTAACATTTGTTATTATTTATATGTTTGATTATAACATCCTAGTGTATGAGAAATTGTATCTAATTGTAACCTTGATTTTCATTTCCCTAGTGGTTCTGATAATGAACATGTTTTCATGTGCTTACTGATCATTTACATATCTTCAGATCCTTGTTTGTTTAGATCATTGGCCCTTTTTTCTTTTTAAGGTTTTTGCCATAGGGTACATGTGCTCACCAAAGAGAAACAGAGGGAGAAACAGTGAGAGGGTAAGTGAGAAATCTTCCCCCTGTGGGAAGGAGTGGCCATGCCACAATCCCTTCTCCATTTTCCTCCTGGGATTTTGGGCATTCATGCACATGCACCTGGAGTGATTTTTAAGCCACCAGGTCCAGGACTCAAACTATGGTTGGCCATAGTGGGAGTCCAGCACCTTAACCATCATGCTACCTGCTGGCCCCCCTTGGCTAATTTTTAAATTGGATTATTTGTCCTTTTATTGTTGAGTTGTAAAAGTTCTTTATATATTCTGGGTATAATTCCCTTATCAGACATAAGATATGCAAATATTTTCTCCTGTTTTGTGGGTTGTCCTTTTACTTTCTGAATGGTGTCTACTGAATTTGTTTAAAAATTTGTAAGAATTTTATATAACTTCCCTAAAAACCTTGAGAGTGTTAATATATTTTAAAATTTTCATTATATGCTATAGTCTGAAAGAGAATCTATCAGAGGCTCTTATCACATTCAGGATAAATAAAAATTCCAGCTTTCAAGGCCATTCATGTTTCAGGCTGTGACTGCTCTCACATATACCTTACATTCAGTCCACATGCCCTTGAAAACCTCTTCCCTCAATAATCTGTTTCATCTTGATCTGCTCCATCTTAGTAAGAAGTAATTCTATTTTTTCCTTTTGTTTTATTTATTTGGTAGGTGATTCAAAATCAAGAGATATCAGAACCATTCTTTAAAAAAAAAAAATCTGTCTGGATTGCAGTACATTGAGCTCCATAGAGACAGTGCTGGGGCTCTGCTGGACGGGCACTGGGCAACTCTGTGCCTCACAGAGGATAGATAACTAAACATGAGCAAAAAATATCCTAAGAAGCCGAGAAGCAAAATGTCATCATATGCATTCTTTGTGCCAACTTGCCGGGAGGAGCACAAGAAGAAGCACCCAGATGCTTCAGTCAACTTCTCAGAGTTTTCTAAGAAGAGGTGGAAGACCATGTCTGTTAAAGAGAAAGGAAAGTCTGAAGATATGGCAAAGGTGGACAAGGCCCTTTATGAAAGAGAAATGAAAGCGCAAATCCTCCTAAAGGGGAAACAAAAAAGAAGTTCAAGGATCCAAATGCACCCCAAGAGGCCTCCTTCAGCCTTTTTCTTACTCTGTCATAACTCTCATCCAAAAATCAAAGGAGAACACCCTGGCCTATCCATTGGTGATGTTGCAAAGAAACTGAGAGAGATGTAGAATTAACACTGCTGCAGATGGTAAACAGTCTTATGAAAAGAAGGCTGCTAAGGTGAAGGAAAAATATGAAAAGGATATTGCTGCATATCAAGCTAAAGGAAAGCCTGATACAGCAAAAAAGGGAGTTGTTGAGGCTGAAAAGAGGAAAAAAAGGAGGAGGAGGAGGAGATGATGAGGAAGAAGAGGATAAGGAAGAAGAGGAAGATGAAGAGGATGAAGATGAAGGAGAATATGATGATGATGTATAAGTTGGTTTTAGCGCAGTTTTTTTTCCTTGTCTATAAAGCATTTAATCCCTCTGTACACAACTCACTCCTTTAAAAAAAAATGAAATGTAAAGCTGAGTAAGATTTGTTTTTGAACCGTACAGTGTCTTTTTTTGTATAGTTAACACACTACCGAATGTGTCTTTAGATAGCCCTGTCCTTGTGGTATTTTCAATAGCCACTAACCTTGCCTGGTACAGTATGGGGGTTGCAAATTGGCATGGAAATTTAAAGCAGGTTCTTGTTGGTGCACAGCACAAACTAGTTATATATGGGGATGGTATTGTTTTCATCTTCAGTTGTCTCTGATGCAGCTTATACAAAATAATTGTTGTTCTGTTAACTGAATACCACTCTATAATTGCAAAAAAAAAAAGTCACAGCTGTTTTGTTGACATTCTGAATGCTTCTAAGTAAATACAATTTTTTTAAAATTAAAAATATCTGTCTGATTGGTGGGACTGTAACTTAGTCCAACTTCTGTGGAAAACAAAAATGTATGTTTTTCAAAACTTTCAAACAGAACTTCCATATGATACAGTAATTTCTCTTCTTGGTATCTACCCCCCAAATTAGAAAGACATTCTGTATATTCATGTTTATTGTAGCATTATTTATAGTTGCTAAAACATGAAACCAACCTAAGTGTACAAAAATTGATGCCTGGGTTGAAAAAACTGGCACATATAAACAATGAGATTCTATTGTTTAGGATGGATGAATATAGAAGACTTAATGTATATTCACATTCAATTTGTACTGAGTGTCTATACTCTATGAAAGAGGTCAAGAGATCTGAAGATGTGATGGTGGAGAGGATGGGTGTGGATGTTAGTTACAGTAAGAGGGTAAAGTAGTTGGTAAAGAGTGAGTGTTGAAGAAGACTCCTCCAATGCTGTTGAGAACTAGTGATTTCAGGGAAAAAGAGAAATGAAGATTTTCTACTGATAATTCAACCTCCAGCCCCACAAACCCAAGTGGAGAGGCAAGGGGCAGGGGCAGGCCTTCAGAAGAAGAGACTCCTTCTTTGCTGCTGAGAACTAGTGATTTCAGGGGAAAAAAAGAAATGAGGATTTTCTACTGATAAATCAGCCTCCAGCCCCCAAACTCGAGTGGTAGGGAGCCACTATATCCTTCTCTCTCTCTCTCTCTCTGTCTGTCTTCTCATTTTTTGGTAATTTTTCCTTTTTAAAATTTTTTTAAGGTAAAGTATTCTCTTGGCTTTCAGAACCTCCTTTATCTTGCTAATAATACCCGTTTCCCTCTCCTTTAGGAGAGGCAAGGGCCAGGGGCAGGCCTTCAGAAGAAGACTCCTCCACTGCTGCTGAGAACTAGTGATTTCAATTCATGCAGTTTTAATTTTTTGCTTATTTTTAAAAAATCTTTTTTTGTTTGTCTTTCTTTTCTTCTTCTTCTTCCTCTCTCTCTCTCTCTCTGTGTGTGTGTCTCTCTCTCTGTTTGTTTGCTTGCTTGTTTCTCTTTATGGTTTCTTTTTTTTCTTTTTACCTCATCACTTTGCTCCTCGATCTCATTTCACTGAGTATCTAGATGGGTCTAAGGGAACCATAGCCAAACATCCAAATACTGTTAGGGTTAACATATTCCTTAATACTCACTGAATCTGCTGCACAAAGAGATAAAAACAGAATGGCAAAGAGATTGCAGATCACTTTAAACTTCAAGAATGAGGAAGAAACACATCATCCATCAGATGACTAGAAATCACCACAGGACTATAAGAAATACAGGAAAGAAAGAAAATACCTCTCCTCCCATGGAAAAGAATAACTCCTCTTCATCCACAGACAGTTCAATGGAAATCATAGAAATGTCTGATAAAGAATTTAGAATATTCATAGTGACAAAGTTAACAGAGATGGAAGAGAAAAGAGACAACGAACTCTAGAAGAAGCAGAATAGAGCCGAGGAGCTCCAGGAAGTGAGGAAGTTTTTGAACGATCTTAGGAATACACACCATAAAAAAGAAAATCAAACAGAACTGTTAGAGATGAAGGCTGTAATACAGGAAATCAAAACTTCCCTCGAAAGCATTAAAAGCAGACCAGATCATGCAGAAGATCGAATCTCAGATGTAAAAAACCAGAATCACTGTCCTAAAAAAAGTCCACCACAAAGACTGAGAAAATAGTCCCCAAAAATGAGAATAATATACTAGAAATACTAGAGACCAGAATCACTGTCCTAAAAAAAATCCACCACAAAGACTGAGAAAATAGTCCCAAAAAATGAGAATAATATACTAGAAATACTAGAGACCATCAAGCATCCAAACATCTGGATATTGGTACCCCAGAAAGTGAAGAGACTAAGAAGGGCATTGATAATCTATTCCATGAAATTCTGAAAGAAAACTTTTCAAATCTAGAGAGGCATTCAAAGATCCAGACCTGAGAAATACATAGAACCCCAAATAGAATCAACCCAAAAAGATCTTCTCCAAGACACATTATAGCCAGATAGACCAAATCTACAGGCAAAGACAAGAAACTAAGATTGGCAAGAGAGAAACAAGTTACCTACAAAGGATATCCCATCAGGATAACAGCAGACCTCTCATCGGAAACAATGTGAGCAAGAAAAGAAAGGGAAAATATATTCAAAGTGTTGAGTAAAAAACAATTTCAACCAAGAATACTATACCTGGCAAGATTATCCTTCATATGGGAAGAGAAGACAAGAACATTCTCTGATAAACAAAACCTGAAAGAATTTACCGACAACAGACCAGTTCTCGAAGAAGTTCTGAAGGGAGTGCTATACCAGGAAAACTCAAGTCAGACACACAGAAATAAGAGTTAAAAAACATCTATGAAAATGGCCAGCTTAATGGTATGAACAAGTACAGAGTTACATATTATCTACCAGAATTTAAATGGAAAGCTTGGACCACAACAGAAATTAAGTACATGAGACTGAGCTGATGAAATAAAATTTTATGGCTTTTGACTAAAACAGTAACTGATCTTTTCCTATGCTTTGTAATCCAAAGATAAGAATTTTTTTCTTCTCTTGAATTGTTGACAGATGTAGGCAACTGCTATTTGAACAGAATCCTAACCTGCTTTCTGGCCTTAAGTCTTAAGCAAAGCTATCTTAACATTTTAAATTTTTTATTCTGATTTATTAAAGCTAAAACTGCCTTTCTTGAAATTAAAAAACATATTTAAGAATCTATTTATTGACCACAGTAAGCTATATAGCTTCAGCTAGGTGCTATTTTATAGTATATTCATTCTACTCACAGTTTCATGCCTAAAGTCAAACATTTGCTCATAGATATTTATAAATCAGCTGAACTTGCTATTGAAAGTAATTAGATCAATCCAGATATTTTGTTAACCAATAAAATGTGGAAGAAAAAAGGAATGGAAAGCAACTGCAGATACCAGAGTTAGAGTGGGAGAAGGGCGGGATATGGCAAAGGGTGAGAAATGGGGGTTTGATACATATATATCAAACAAGAAATGGAAAATTATTTGTGATGATAACATATATGACTTAGCCACTATACAGCACATTCTGGATGGGAAACTGCATCTTGTATGCTGTGATGATGTTCAGTGAATGAACGCAAAATAAATAATTAATTTTTTAAAAAGTGAGTGTTGGATGGTGGGTGTGAGGGAAAAGTAATTTAGAACAATCATGTCGTGCATATTTTGTGTAAACTCCTAAAATATAACTTTATACTGCACATGGAAAACTGTTTCTTTCTGGTAATTCAAAAAGAATATTTTTTTCAGACTACCAAGAATATAAAGAATTAAATTAGAAGCCTAATTCAATTTAGTGATATGATATAATCATTTGTAATCTATGAGTGTTACATATTTTTCTATAATATTTCATTTCATAAAGTATGAATTTAAAACAAAACAAAACAAAATACAAGGTATTTCTTATGTAAGAAAGAGAATCTGGGCAATAGTGCATGGACTAGAATAAAATACCAATTTTACAGAACAGCAGGAAGCAAGGCTTATAGAAAATTGGGTTAGAAAGAAGAAAAATCAATACATTAAGGTGAACATCCAGATTTGTAGTGGTGTTCATTTATAGCCAACGTGAATTAATAAATGGCTGACAAACTTCTACAAAATGAAGCTTAGATATACTAATTCAGCTTAAACCACGTAACTTATAAAAAAGTAAAAATATTTCAGAAGAGTTTTATGAAAGTCATTTTACAGATCTACTACTAAGTCAAAACTGTAGAGTCAGTCTTGACTACTTTTTTCACACTTCATCACTCTACTTCTAAAATATTAGGTTGTTGGGGAAGTCGTGATGCATTTTTCTATGCTTTTCTATGCAAAAATGCATTGTAACTTTCCAGAAAACTCTGACCACATTTCACCCTCTCCACTCTGATGTCTCTGGAACGTATTTCAATATCGCCTGTTGAGATCAGGACAATAGTCTCCTAGCCACAATCTTCCTAATTCTTTGCTTCCCCATAGCCTGTTCTCAGCACAGTAGCCACAGCCACTCTGCTAAAACGTAAGTCGTATGATATTATTTTTCAAAGGCTTCTCAACTCAAGTACTTTGGCTTACAATGCCTGATATGTTCTGGCCATTTGCTTCTTCTCTTACTTCATCTCCTGCCTTTCTCCGCTCCAGAAGCTCAGGCCTTCTTAACTTGGCCTTGTTCTGGATATTCTGTATATCTGGAATGTTCTTTCTGCAATGAGTCACATAGCTTGCTCTTTCTCTTTAGACCTTTGTTCAAATGCTATCTTTTCAATGATGATGTCCCTGATAACACTACTTAAAATAGTACATCTTTACTCTAATACTCCCTATCCTCCTATTTTGCTATATTTTCCTTCATAGTATTCATTAGCATACAGCATATTTTATATAAATTTACCTATCTGTATCAACAAATACTGAATGAACACTTCACTATATAACTATTAGAATACAGAATTTCCAAAAGCACTTCAATAACTAAAATTTTTAGTTCTTACATTTTTCTATGGCATTTCTGGTAGTCTTCTGAAGAGGCACCTAGGGGGAAAATGCATTAGAAATAATTCAAAGATAAAAATAGAGTTAAAATTACTCTGGGTAAAAATATTTACCAAGCATGCAGTGTATTTTTATACTTTTATCATTTTATGTAGTTCTTAATTAAATAAAAGTATTTTTCAAACTATCAAAGCATAAGTATTATAAAATTTTATGATATTAAAAACCCTGCATTTTGATAGCTCTTTTAATAATTTTCGAAGTTATATCTATTATCTTACTTTATTATTACAACATTCCTTTCAAGCAAATACCCCAATTTATTGTACCCATTTTACACATAAGGAAAAGGTTACTGGTCAAGTTACAAAATAGCCAGAGCCAGCCCCATAACATAGTGGCTAAGTGCTGTGTGTTTGAATCCAGATCCTATATGGCTGACTGTGGTATAGATCTTGGCCTGATAGCTTAAAAAATACACACCAGGGCTTCGGGGGGCAAACATGGCTATGGCTAACAATTTCTACCTGCACTACTAGGTAGGGCACAAGGGCAAGTTTGGACACAAGTTTCTAGAGTTCAAGTTTCAGCCAGATGGAAAGTTTAGATAGGCCAACAACAGCAATTACAAAAATGATACCATGATCAGAAAGGAGGCTTAAGTACACAAGAGTGCAGCAGAAGAACTGAAGAGAGTTATTGATGATAGTGAAATTCCAAAAAAAAGATGATACTTTGTGGCCTTCCCCTGACAGAGTTGGCTGACAGGAGCTTGAAATTGTAATTGGAGATGAATACATTTATTTTACCACACCAAAAATACAGTTCTCTTATTGCTATAAATCAGTCAAAGGATACTGACGGCCTTCAAGTATTTTATTATTTGGTACAGGACCTGAAATGTTTAGTTTTCGGTCTCATTGGATTACACTTTAAGATTAAATCAATCTAAACTGCATGTTTTTGAAACCGTTTGTATAGTTAATTAAGCATTGGGTAAAGGAGGGTTTGTCATTTACAATATTGGAATTTGTATGAATGTGAAGCAAACAAAAATCATTTTTGTATGTAAACTGAAAATAAGAAAATACATGAACAGGCTTACTAATTGTCCTAACTTGGGTCCAAGTGGGGTGGGCAGTCCCTACAAACAAAAGATTCTGTAAGTAAAACTCCCCTTTTGTTGGAATTTTGCTCCAATAAAACATATCAAAGCTTTAAAAAAAACAACAACCCCCACACACCAGGGGTGTGTGTGTGTGTGTGTGTGTGTGTGTGTGTGTGTGTGTTTATGTGTGTGTGTGTATGCCCAAACTCCCAATAAGATGAAGAAACAGAGGAAAAAGGACTGTGAAGCAATCATGTCCCATGGAGAGTGGGTTGTTTTGTTGTTTTTTTTTTTCTTCTCTAGCCAAAGCAACTGGTAGGGGATAAGTATATGAAGTAATTTAAGCCAATGGGTAAGGTCCAGGACTTTTGTTCAAATAATGGATATATAAAGCATTCTTTTCATTGGATTTGAAGCTGTGCATACATAACCTGGTGCTATAAAGGGTTGTTAAATGAAGGAATTTGGCTTAGAATGTAATTGACACCATGAAATGACAGATGGTAAATAATTAGGTTCTACTGATATCATTTGAAACCTTAGATCAAGCTGCATATGTATCTGATTTATTGTTGGATTTTTGAGGTACATGTGGTAATAAATTCCTTTTAAAATACTTTTTCTTAGGGGTAGCCTGTGGCCTGGTGGTTAAGATGAATCCTACATGGCTGACCATGTGGTTCAAGTCCTGAATTCAGTGGCTTGAAAAACATGCTGGCTGTGTGTGTGTGTGTGTGTGTGTGTGTGTGTGTGCATGCGCGTGCACGCACCTAAAATCCTGAAAGGAGGTAGAGATGGAGGAAAAGAGATTGTAGTGTGACCATGTCCATGAGAGGTAGTTTCTTGCTTTGCCTTTCTTTCATTCTCTCTTTCTGATAAGTGCACACTCCCTCTGGCTAACTAACTGAATAAATAATGTAAAGGTTTTTGCCAGAGGGCATGAGCACTTGCCAGAAAGTGACAGTGAGAGGGAAAGTAAGAAATCACCCCCCAGGGGTATGGCCACACTGCAGACCCTTCTCCACGCTCTTCTCTGGATTCTGGGCATGCATGCATACATGCTGCCATGATTTTCAAGTCACCAGGTCTGGGGCTCAAACTGCACTGGGCCATGTGGGAGTCTAGCACCTTAGACACTAGGCCTGAGGGTCCCAAGTTTTTTTCTTTTTTTTTTTAAATTCATGACAGAGAAAGCATGGATGAGAGAGAAAGAGAGAGAACGTTTCCTCCCCCCATTCCCCAGAGTCTGGTCATGCCACAGTTCCTTTCCCCCAGTTCTCCAGCTCATTAGGATCTTGGGCATGTACATGTAAATGTTTCAGATCAGATTAGAAGAATTAATATAATCAAAATGGCAATTCTACCCAAATTAATCTACATATTTAACACAATCCCAAAGTACTAGAGATATTCTTCACAGATCTAGAAAAGACAATCATACAATTTGTCTAGAATCATAAAAGACCTCGTATTGCCAAAGCGATCCTGTGCAAGAAGAGTGGGGTGGGTGTCATCTCACTCCTTGACCAGAAAATATACTATAAAGCTGTGATGATCAAAATAGCATGATTGCCAAAGCGATCCTGTGCAAGAAGAGTGGGGTGGGTGTCATCTCACTCCTTGACCAGAAAATATACTATAAAGCTGTGATGATCAAAATAGCATGATATTGGCCCAGAAACAGACAGGTGGACCAATGGAGCAAAATAGAGACTCCAGAAATAAACTCCCAAACATACAGCCAATTGAGTTTTGACAAAGGGTACCAGTCAATCCAATGGGAAAAGGAAAACCTCTTTAGCAAATGGTGCTGGAAAAACTGGATATCCATCTGCAGAAAGATGAATCTGAATCCGTACCTCTCACCATTGACAAAAATCAACACAAAGTGGGTCAAAGATCTAAACCTAAGACCTCAAACTATAAAACTACTGGTGGAAAACACTGGGGAAACTCTGGGAGACATTGGAGTAGGCAAAGACTTTTTAAATAAGCACAGACAATAATCCCAAAAATAGACGAGTGGGTTTACATCAGATTAAGAAGTTTCTGCATGGCAAAAAACACAGTAGTTAGTGTGAATCGACAGCCCTCAGATTGGGAAAATATTTTTGTAAGCTATGCTTCAGATAAGGTACTGATAATCAGAATACACAGGCAACTCAAGCAGCTTTTCCTAAAAAAGATGATCAACCCAATTAAAAGATGGGAGAATGAGTTGAAAAGACCACTCTCTAAGGAAGACATGTGAATAGCCAAAAGGCATATGAAAAAATGGTCAACATGCCTCATTATGAGGGAGATGCAGATCAAAACTACAATGAGATACCACCTAACCCCAGTCAAAATGACTAAGATTTAAAAAAAAAAAAACAAAAAAAGATAAGTATTGGTGGAGGTGTGGTGAAAGGGGAACTCTCCTATAAGGCTGGTGGGAATGTAAATTGGTCCACCCATCGTGGAGAACAATATAGAGATTTCTCAAAGATCTATAAATAGACTAACATATCAACCAGCAATCCCACTCTTTGGTATCTACCCAAAGGACAGAAAAATGCTTAGTTGGAAAAGTGCTTGCACATCAATGTTTATTGTGGCATTATTCACAATTGCTAAGACAGGGAACCAACCCAAATGTCCATGAACAGAGGAAGGAATTGAAAAAATGTGGCACATATACTCTGTGTAGTATTACTCAACCATAAAAAACAATAGGACCTTGGCTTTTGACAGAAAGTGGATGAATATTAAAAATTTACTGCTCAGTGAAGCAAGCCAGGCTATGAAGAAGAGACATTGTACATCTCCACTTAACATATACCAATTGTCCACACTCGGTGGCCAAAACTGAATGACTAGAGGATATAGAAACATAGAAAAGGGTTATAGAGGCAGAAGAAGCCACGGGCCTTCAAAACAAGGTTCCACATGGCTACTGTGAACTAGATTTTTAAGGGAATGAAGATTTTCTACTAATAATTCAGCCTCCAACAAATGAGCTAGCGGCAGAAGAA